TCGGTACTATGACAAGGAATGTGAAGTTCGAACAAACTATGTCGGTTCTGCGTTCCTATCAACTACGCGTGCGACTGACTTGCTGATTGGGCTGAAGGAATGTTTCAAAACCAATCCTAGTACTTTGAAGAAAATCGTTCAAATTTCAATGGATGGACCGAATGTGAACTGGTAATTTCTGGTAAATTTTGAATGTTGAAAGCTGTGGTCTTCACGTAGTGCATAATGCATTCAAATGTAGAGCGAAGAAAGCAGATTGGAACTTTGACGAATTTTTGCTCTCGTTGTACAGTCTGTTTAAAAATGATCCGAGCTGAATATTCATCAGTGGCTGGTTCTTCTTTGTTTCCATTGAAATTCTGTGACGTCCGATGGGTAGAGAATTATCGGGTCGTCGAAAGAGCGTCTAAGATGCTGCCATCTCTAAGGATTTTCGTTGAAGCTGTAAATAAACAGCGTGACAAGAAAATCAAAGAATCGAAATTTGATTTCAAGCGAAGTTTTGTCTTCTTCTTCTACTTCTTATTCTGGTCTGACATCCCTCAGCATTACACCTGCATCACAATGTTACGCCAATTCACTCGGTACGTGGCTGCTTGTCTCTAATTTCTTGACCGTCCCACACTTCCAAGATCCTGCTCCACTTGGTGTAACCACCTTGCTCGCTGTCCTCCTGTTCGTCTTGTACCGGCCGGATTCGAGACAAACGCCATTTTTGCGGGATTTTTATCCGGCATTCTTAATACGTGTCCCGCCCATCGTACCCGTCCAGCTATCGCAACTTTCTGGATACAGGGTTCGCCATAGAGTTGCGCCAGCTCGTGGTTCATCCTTCGCCTCCATACACCCAGCGCTTGCAGGTCCTCCTCGAGCATCGTCCACGTCTCGTGCCCGTAGAGAACTACCGGCCTTATCAGCGTCTTATACATGTTACATTTAGTACGGAGGTGAAGTTTACCCGACGTCAGGGTCTTGTGGAGTCCGTAGTAAGCACGACTTTGGGCAAGAATACGCCCACGAATTTTTCTGCTTCAGTTGTTATCCGACGTCACCAATGATCCGAGGTACACAAATTCATCCAACACCTCGAACTCATATCCGTCGATTGTCACGCTTCTGCCTATGCGAGCCCTATCCCGCTCGGTTCCTCCAGCTAACAGATACTTTGTCGTCGACGTATTCACCTTTAATCCAACTTTCTCTGCTTCACGTTTCAGCCTGGTGTACTGGTCCGCCACGGCCTGAAACGTTCTTCCGAGAATGTCCACGTCGTCAGCAAAGCAGATGAACTGGCTGGACTTATTGAAGATCGTGCCCCGCATGTTAAAGCCCGCACGTTTCATAACACCTTCTAGCGCAATGTTGATCAGGAGGCAGGAAAGACCATCGCATTGTCGAAGTCCTTTGCGAGTTTCAAACGAGTCCGATAACGCACCCGATATCTTCACGCAGCACTGTACACCATCCATCGTAGCCCTGATCAGTCTGGTCAGCTTCCCGGGAAAACCGTTCTCGTCCATAATCTTCCATAGCTCTTCACGGTCAATAGTATCATAAGCGGCCTTTTAATCGATGAATAGGTGGTGATAGTTTGGAGGATTGATATTCACGACACGTTTGGAGGATCTGCCGCAACGCAAAGATTTGGTCCGTTGTCGATCGCCCGTCCACTTAACCACTTGATAACTTCCCACAAATCTGCTTGCTAGCGGCGATAAACGGCGAATGTTAACGTTCGTCCGTTAAGATACCGGGCTTTATTACGGGTGTCACTACACGGTGATAAGGAAGTGATACTCAGAATAAGAGCCATGATTGCCGTACAAATCAAATGGGAATAAATTCACCGTGACGACAAGTGACAAGTTTTCACCGTGAAGTGACATCCGTAATAAGCCCCACCCCCTTCCTTATCCCGACACATTGCGGCTCGCGGCGCAAAGCTTTGGTGGGATGCGTTGAGTTTCTTGTAGAACTTGCGTGTTTCTTGACATCGATACAGCTGCTCCATTTCTTCGCACTCCAGCTCTTCCAGGCGGCGCTTCTTATCCCGGAAAAGATGGGTTTGCTGTCTTCGCTTCTGTTTATATCGCTCCACATTATGACGGGTTCCTTGCTGCAGCATCGCCGCCCGCGCTGCGTTCTTCTCGTCCAAAACCGTCTGACACTCTTCGTCAAACCAATCGTACCGTCGATTCCGCTCCACGAACCCAACGGCGCCTTCAGCAATCCTGTTAATGGCTGCTTTCACGTTGCTCGAGCAGTCCTCAAGAGGGGCTTTGGTGAGCTCTCTCTCATCCGGCAACGCTGCGACGTCGATAATGTCCGAGAAGTGCCTTCCGTCGATCAAAACGTGGTCGATTTCCAGGTGTACCGATATGGGAGGCTATGCTGAAAGTAGGTACTACGTATGGCCATGTTCTTAGAGGCTACGAAATCGATGAGTCTAAGGCCGTTGGCGTTCGTTAGTGGCTATGTCGAGCCATTTCTAAGAGTGATTAAACCAGAATTTTTGAATGTAAACAAGAAATCCTTGGCATTAATTGAACTCAACGACAATAATCTACTTCCTTCAAGTCACGTGGATATTGGATTCGCAGCATTGAAGGTTGTTACTGGTGTCTTTAGAAATGATTGCAAGGCATTTTACGTTGCGCTGAAAATCTTTGACAAATCTCCCTTAACATATCCGCTAACGAGGTACATTTCATGTTTGAGTTCTGAAATAATCACGGAATCGCCGGAAACAGCCAGAAAGAGGCTGTCTTTTGTTTTGGACCATCTAGTGGAAAAAGATCACTTGTCTGGGACATTGGCCGATAAAATTATGATTGAATATCGTACTCTACTAACCGAACCACACGCAAAACCGGCGTTCACTGCATACAGCAGGGAAGAGCAAAGACTGGATGCATTCTGGAATAAGACAATCCTACAATCTGGAAATCACTCTCCGAATCTTTTGACATTTGTTTAAGACACTATCATTTTGTCGCACGGAAATATTGCTTTGGAACGTGGTTTTTCCGTAAACAAAGCCTGTTTTGTGGAAAAACCAAATTGAGGAAAGTATGGTTGCCCAACGGATTGTTTATGATACCAAATGCACATCGCAAATACCAGGAATCACTGGTTCAAAAAAAAAAAAAATGAGCATGACGCGATGGAAAGAGATAAACAGCGTAAAAGAGATGCTGTTCGAGTGTTGAAGGAGTTGGAAGCAAAGAGAGTGAGGCTACTGGCTGACACGGAGAAAGAGGTTGCATCAATCAACAAACAAATCAAGACCAACAATTGAAAAGGCCTCAACTACATTTTGTAAACAAACCTTGTAAGGCCATTTTTGGCGAACCGAAGTCCACCAACGCAAACCAACAAAATAAACAGGTAGGGGGAATTTTCCTCTACTTGATTGTGTTTTAGGTTTACAAATGTAGGTTTCGGTTCGCGAGGCCATTTTCTCGCGAACCAAAACCTACATTCGTAAACCTAAAACACAATCAGGTAGAGGAGAATTCCCTCTACTTGTTTATTTTGTTGGTTTGCGTTTGCGTACAAGGTTTGTTTATTAAAAGGAGTTGAGGCCTTTTCAATTGTTGGTCATGAAATGTAAAACCAAGAAATGAGTTTTCTTGCTAGTCGCGTAAATTTACTTGAAATAAAAATCTTCTGATTATACATATCTCGTGTTCATTGAATAACAAGTTGTAAGTATATCATTTACAAGACATATATAAAATCATGTAACATTTTTCTCCATATTCTTATTTACATTAAAATACTATTTTTCATGCATTTTTTTTGTATGTAAAATACGACTTGAGTGTAAACAGTACTTTCATTCGTGAATTTTTGTGACAACATTGGGTTGAGCTGTTTTTCAAAACCGGGAAAAAATCGGGAATTGATAAATTGGATTTAGAATGGACACCCTGTAAAAGCGTTACCGAACGCTATTGTATACGTTACCATTCGTTACAGTTCAGACCAGTAAATTTTGACAGCTCAAAAGCTATATTAAAATTTACTGAACGAATTGTAAATTTAGAATAAATTACCGAATCAATTAGCGAATGTTTAGCTGTTCCATATTCTATAAAAAATAACAGTATACGGTAAAAAAAAATTAGTGTGTAGATCGCGGAAATTTGTTTTGAAGCGAAATAAACTCGATGTGATCTACCCTTATAACTTACTAAGCGAGTCATAAACATAGCATATTTTAAACATATTAGCTTATTTTAAACTAGTATTTTTTTAATACATATGTTTGTATTACGTCTGCGTGAAGTTTCAAATAACAGACTTTAAGTGATCATTTTATACGATAGATGAGGAGGTGAAAGTATAGAGTTGATAGTTCCGTTAGAGTACGGTGGTGTGAAAATTGTATAGAGAGAGTAGAAAGCGAGCAAGGACAACTTTGAGGAAGGTACGAATCGGGTTAATCATCTCTCTTTACCAAACTCCCCAGTTGGAGAGGGATGGTGAAGGGCATACCCCCCCCCCCCTTCAACACTGGCAAAAAGAGATCATCACCGATTCTATCGATTGTACCGCACTCAAGTCGTTATCTGAAGGGAGGCATCTAGTCGTAATTTTTGTTGAAAATATATGATATCATGTAATAAATTTTCATTGTTTGAGCATTGTATCGTTATAAATCGATATTAATTTTTTCTCCAATACAACAGTATAACAATGATATTTAAATGTACTCGAAATTCAAATTTTATTATGGTTTTTTGCGCCTCCTATTGGATGGCTACCCCCCAGAGTTAGAGCAGAAAAGAATGGCTGATTAATAACTCATTAGTCTATTATATTTTTATTCCATAGTTCTGAACACATTTTAGATGATCGATTATCATTTTCAACCTTAATGAACTTCTTCTTCTTCTTCAGTATTATAATTATTATTAGTATTATATTATAATTAAATAAAAACTCGCGTTTATTTTAGATTTTCCACATCATGATAAAATCTTCATATTCCACTAGTGGCACCTGTCGGTAAAACGCTGCTGAAACTAGCCAGAAATCTTTATCATTCCATTGCACCTTCTCATTATGGTCACACTAAAAAGAAACCGCAGTAAAATTTTGATTAATCAAACTGTTACAATCGAGGTTACAATGATGTCAAATCGCAATGAATGAATGTTCCTAGTTGTTAATGTAGTAATGCGTCAGGGGAAAATGTGCCGATGGAATATCGCAAGCTGTCAGTTTTAATGTCACAACTTCTGACAGCATGGTGCTACCTTCCTGTGGGCAAAAAGTTATTCAAAAACATTATGTATGGAGGTTTGGAATTTTTTCCAGGCATATCGATTTTAAAGGCGAAAACAGAAGATAAACATTTGGTTCGGCTTAAATATATGCAACCAGCATTGAATATATTTTTTTGGAAAATGGTCATTGAAATCATCATTGACTTACACCATGACTTTTTAAACTAACCTTGCAATTCGGCGCAACTTAGGAAACATCCTTGGGGAGACTACATTTATTTTTCGCTCTCCTCAATCAGGCAAGAAGCGAACAATGTTGATGTGTAACGAAAATAAGTTATTTTTGCACCAATTCTAGAAAGGGCTGTAGCCCCTCTAGCACTCACGTAGTTACGCCAATGATTTGAACGCTTCAGTTGCGGGCAAGGACAACGGAAAACCTTACAATCATTTAAAAATTCCAAACCCTTTGGCAATGACTGCCACACCGCACCTGATTACACAGGTCAAATGAGCGTCAATTATCACCATGTTTCTCTACAATGTAGCTACTCACCACTATTCACCTTCCAATGTTTCCAGATAATCTTCCTCGTTGGAGTACTGAAAATAATCCGCTTCCGCTTCATTCGTCGGATCCAGCTGAACCGATGGTTGCAGTTTTTCGTTGCCTACCGTTGTTGGTTCAGCTTCCTCATCGAAAAAGATGGTCGTCTTTTTCGGAGGCTCATAGCTGGGGTACTCAGTCATCGAGGTGCTCGGACTGAAAAGATCCGTATAGTCGGGATTGGTATTGTCTCTGCTGGGACTCGGATACGTTGAGCGTGGCGGGTCCGTGGTGGTCGTCGGACTGGAGGTGGTCGTCGGGCTGGAGGTGGTCGTCGGGCTGGAGGTGGTCGTCGGGCTGGTGGTGGTCGTAGGGCTGGTGGTGGTCGTCGGGCTGGTGGTGGTCGCCGGGCTGGTGGTGGTCGTCGGGCTCGTGGTGGTCGTCGGGCTGGTTGTGGTCGTCGGACTCGTGGTGGTCGTCGGACTCGTGGTGGTCGTCGGGCTCGTGGTGGTCGTCGGGCTCGTGGTGGTCGTGCTGGTTGTAGAAGTAGTGGAACTGCATCGTCTACGCTTCTGGAAGAATGCTCTCACCAGGAATGCGTTTACTTCCGCGTTGGACACTCCGAACGGCGAGGGGCGTGAGTTGGACTTGAACACTTCCAGCACTTCTTCGACATTAACTTCTCCGGGTAGATGAGGGGGACGGGTTCGAAGGTATTTGCGATAATCGGACTCGCTAGCTGCCACGATGGTAGATAGGAGTAGAATCCCGAGCAGAACCGCGACTATTTGCAACATCTTCGGTGGGAATCTCCAGAATGACTGATCACAGTCATCGCAGTAGAACGAGAATGAAGGGAGAGCGAGTGCGTTATCTCGAACTGCGGTGCGACTTTAACAAGGGCCAGTTAGATTACATTGGGACAGTGAAGGGAGGAAGGTTAAGCGTATTTTCGAATTCCACTTGTGTCTTATATGAGATCGATTAATCTGGTGCGATCCGCTATTCTTCCGGTATCTTGCTGTTTCGATCCATCCGGATTTTCCTGGATCTAACTGGAAGCCTTGCTGTAAGTATACATTTGGTTTTTTGATTTATTCAACATTCCTAAGGCCCTAACCTAAGGGTCGAAATCGGTGCTCGAATGCTGAACCCGTGCGAACCCGAGCTTATTGTCAGTGTGAACCTCAACCCGAGCCAGGTTGCAGAAACAAACGTTTACACTGAGGGTTGACAGACAACAAGCAAACCCAATCAACGATACACGTTGGAACTGAATCAAAAACAAATTCGCTTATAGTAATGAATAGTTCGATAATTTGTTTTTGTTTTATCAATCTTTGTTATCAAGGTGCTTCACAAGTTAGAAATTGCTTCGGAAAGTGCTGGATCACATCAAAAACGTTCAGAATAACTTCGAAAAGTAGTGAATCATATCAGATATGTTTGCAATCACTTCGTATTGAACTGAACCACTTGAAATGTTCACTGAATCACATCACTTTAAAAGGTTCGGAATCACTTAGGAAAGCATTGGTTCACTTCAGCATGTTGGAAGGAAATGGCCACAACAGGCGAAAACAGCACAGGGAATCCGATTACCGCGTGGGGAAAATGTGATATTTACTCGGACAATTATTCGCGACACAACCTTTCGATTGCAAATGTGTTATGTATTATCGGCAAGGAAAAAGTTACAAGAGAAATAACAAAAAGGTGAGCATAGAGCGCTTTGTAATTTTAGTTCAGTGGATCAGCGCCCCTATGACAAAAATATAGATACGTTCAACACTCCTCCTGGCTGAACTACTGAACGAACTCTCCTTCAATCAGCTTGGCTAGATCCGCTGCATACTGATTGATCTTCTGCGGTCCTAAAGGTTTGGTGAAAACATCGGCCACCATCCTATCAGTTGGACAGTAGACCAGTTGAATTAATCCTTTCGTACACAAGTCCTTCGCATGATGTTGTCGAGTATCGATGTGCTTGCTGCGCTTGTTTTGGCGCTCGAGGGAAACGAAGTCGATACAGCTGCGGTTATCTTCGTTAATCGTCGTTGGCTGTTGCTGTTCAACACCTAATTCGGACAACAGGCGTCGTAGCCACACTGCCTCCTGTGCCGCCTCCGATAGCGCGACATATTCTGCTTCCATAGTAGACATTGTGACACAGTTCTGCTCTCTACTACCCTAGCTGTTCCCAACATAAAAACAAATCCACTGGTAGACTTGCGATCTGATGTATCTCCTGCCCAGTCTGCATCACTGTATCCAATAAGAGTCAGTTCATCGTTTCGTTGATCTCCAAGACGTAAAACCAAGTTTTCAGTACCGACCAAGTAACGAACCACGCGCTTCAGTTCCACCCAATCACGCTGCGTAGGGTGGCTGGTGCAACGGCTGAGGATGGACACCGATGCTGCAATGTCTGGCCTTGTATGCGTTGACAGGTACAACAGCGCACCAACAAGGCTGTGGTACTGAACGTTATCGACTAAAGGTTCGGAGTCTGTCTGTTTCATGTACCCTGTGTCCAGAGGGTATCTCGATGTCTTGGCTCCGTTTAATCCATGGCGTTCAGCGATTTCCTTGATGAACGCTTTCTGGCTGAGGGAATAGAATCCATCGTTGCTCTTGTCAACCTTGATACCCAAAAAATGGCTTATCGGTCCCAACGACGAGATTTGGCAATGCTTGCTCAATTCTTGCTCCAAGAGATCCAGCTGATGCTCATCTCCACCAATCAATACAATGTCATCTACATATATTAGAAGGTATAGCCACTCACCGTTGTCTAACTGCTTCGAAAAAAGGCAAGCATCTGAATCCGATTGCTGGAATCCGAAACTCAGGAGTACTTCCTTCACAGTTGCATTCCAGACGCGTCCCGCCTGTTTCAGCCCGTACAAACTACGGTGCAGCCTGCATACCAACTCCTCCTTTCCGGGCTCCGCGTATCCCGGGGGCTGCCGCATATAAATTTCTTGACTTAATCTTCCATTCAGGTAAGCATTCTTCACGTCGATGTGGCGTACTTGAAGCTTTCTGTGACTTGCTATTGTCAGAAGTAACCGGAATGTCGACGGCATTGAAAACTTCACCAAAATCGCTGCCGTAACGCTGTTCACACCCCTGGGCAACTAGCCTAGCCTTATGGCGCACCACTTGGCCAGCGAAGTCCTTCTTCTTCCTGAATACCCATTTCGAGCCAATTGCTCGTCGATTCTCCGGTAGCGGAACCAACGACCAGGTGCTCATCGACAATAATGACTGGTATTCAGCGTCCATAGCTTCAATCCACTTGTCCTTCCCGGCACTGTTCACTGCTTCACTGTAGTTCTTCGGTTCCGGATCTTCCATCTTGACCAGTCCGACGACAAAATCTTGATACTTAACCGGCAGTACTCCGGTATTTTTACGTTGCGGCCTGCTGTTCACTCGCTCTTCGCCGCCCTGCGGCCCGTCGTTCAATTGCTCTTCGCCGCTCTGCGGTCCGTCGTCGTCAGAATCCTCATCCGAAAAAACCTTCACAATCCGGTTCCTCGTCGATACTTGCATTATCGACGAAATCTGGCTCGATCCTGACCAGTTGATCCGAACTGCTCTCCACTACAACTTTGTTCCTTGTCATAGACGGTTTCTTGTGACCTGTGCGTTTCTGCTTCTCTGCATTGCTTCTTGACTCCTCCTGCAGCTCTGGTCCGAGTTCGAGGAAACGAGCATCCCTACTGATGACGATTTTGCTCGTTTGCTTATCCAAGAAACGATACGCTTTGGAGCCACAAGCGTAGCCGACGAATGTTAGCCGTTTAGCCCGGCTGTCTAACTTCCCTAGTTTTGCATCTGGGATGAATACGAATGCTTCACATCCGAACACCTTTAGATGACTCAGATCTGGTTTCTCTCCGCACCAAAGTTCCGTCGGTGTCTTCGTCATCGATCTTGAGGGCAAGCGGTTCTGGATATACGCAGCAGCAGCGATTGCCTCTCCCCAATATCTCTTGTCCAGGCCGGCGTCGAGGAGCATGCATACCGCCATTTCCTGGAGGTAGCGATTGCGCCGCTCCGCTACGCCATTCTGCTGCGGTGCGTAACCTGCAGTCAGCTGCATCTGGATGCCTTCATCTCGATAGAATTGCTCAAGCTCCTGGTTAACGAATTCTCCGCCACGATCAGACCTGATTATCTGTGGCTTTCTCCCAAATTTATTCTGAACCATCCGCACGAAGCTCATGATGCATTGTTTCGCTTCGGATTTTTCTCTTAGCAAATACATGACTACGTACCTGCTAAAACCATCAATGATGGTTAAGAAATACTTCTTTCCACCGGGAGTCACGTTGCTCATCGGACCACAGACGTCCGTGTGGATTAATTGGAGTGGCTGCGTCGTCTTCCGCTCGGACTGCTTGGGGTATGGCAACCGAGTCATCTTCCCTTCCATACACGGCTCACACACTATCTTGGCACCACGAGAATCAAACCGGTAGCGAGATCTTCCTGTTGGATCTTCTCGAACACTGCAGGGTCACGATGCCCGAATCGTCGGTGCCATGTATGCTGGCAGTTCACTGTATGGAACTGGGAGGTTGCGACCGCTGCAATCTCTGACTCACTCAAAAAATAAAGTCCACCGCGCCTCTCTCCCAAGGCCACGACTGGCTATAATGGAAAAACAAATGCATGAGAAAGGTATATCTATAATAGGATATGGTGCAGACGGTGATTCTAGACTAATTGGTAGCATGAAAGTTCGAATGGGATTGCCTCGAACCATTTCAACGCATCCTTCTGAGATTCCCAGAACCTGGAGTAACTGGTATGCAGCTAAGGGACCAACTGGAATTATCTATATACAAGATAAAACTCATATAATCAACAAACTTAAAAACTGTTTGTTGTCTTACACTAGAAGTCTTCAAATTGGTGAGTTGCCATGTGCGTAATAAGAACTGTTTTTCAACATGGTTACCGTAAATGTGTGATTGGTTTATATTTAAAGAAAATCAAAAAAATCTTGCTGCTCAGCTAGGATTTGCATACTTAGATGGAAAATTCAAAAGAGAAAGGGAGTGCAACCTTAAATCTGTTCCAATTGAAGTTCCAGCTCACGTACGCAATCCTAAAGGAATAGGTATTGTTTGTAACAAGTTTAACATTCTTTCTAATAATAAGTTAAGCATTGAATCAGACTGGTCAAAGATAGATATTAGTAGATATGTGTCTCATATACAAAAGCCAGAATTATTTGAAACTAATAAATCGTTTGAAATAACACAAGAAACACGTGTATATCTTGGAACTTTACTAAAATAGGCATACTTGTAGTCGCGCTACAAACTAAAAATAGACTGACTTTTCTAGGAAAAATTCAAAACAAAATTTTCAAAAATGATCAAAGAACTGAAAATAAAGCATCACTTAATGTATTTCCCAATTACATGTAACATGTAACCCTAAATGAATACTACGAAGAAAAAAACTTGTTAAGTTTCTGCAAACTGTTGGTATAACTTCGACCGAGGCCTAGACAAAACATTTAATGAATTGTTAAAGAACAATGCCATTATCAAAAACTAAGTGTGCAGAATTGAGGGAGTGAAAAAAAAGTGTTGTTCGATTATTTTATCATATTACCGGGAGGGGGGCGTGTCTCCGTTAACCTCAACATTCAATTTACGCCAATGGTTGTTTGCTTATAGGATGAAATGGAAGATGGAAGTTAACATAAAAACAAGACATGTTAAAAAACAGTTTAGAAGCAAACGTTTCCTTCGATCAGAAGGAAATTAAAAATAACTC